ATCTCCATCCCCCCTAATAATATTTATTGTAACATGTAATCCTCACTTTAAATTGATGAGAAAACCAGGTTACCTGACTTGTGCAAGGACATACGCAATGGTGGAGTCAGGATTTGAATTTAATAATGGCATGTAGCCCTTCCTAAGGTCTTGGATGCTGTCCCTGTTTATTTGGTCTCTTTAATCCTCATGATATGCCCAGGACCTTGGCCGTATCCTGCTGTTGTGGCTGAAGATGCTGAAGCCCATTGACACAGGTGATTTTCCCAGGGCAGTCAGTGTGAGTTAGTGATGTCAGCGTTAGGACGGGTGTGCATCGGTAGCAGCCTGCTGAGGGCCTCTGCTTCTCTTTGACGTATTCAGCCATAAGAAATGCTCACCGTTCATGCATTTTTTGTTTGTTTGTTTCTGAAATAGCATCCTGAATTCATTTTGTTTGTTTGTTTGTGATAGTGTCTCCCTATATAGATAGCTCTGGATATCCTGGAACTCATTATAGATTAAGCTGACTTCAAATTCAGAGATCTGCCTGCCTCTGATGGTATACAACTTTGATACTAGGTGGATCTCTCTGAGTTTGAGGCCAGCCTGGTCTACAGAGCAAGTTCCAGGACAGCTAAGACTACAGAGTACACAAAGAAACCCAATCTCAAAAACCAAAACCAAAAAAAGAAAAAAGAAAGAAAAAAAAAAAGAAACCCTGTCTTGAAAAAAACCCCAACCAACTAACAACAACAACAAAAACCCCCCAAAAGGTGTGTGCCACCACTCCCAGATGATATCTCACTTTCTAGACCAGAGTAGCTGTTGGGAGACTTTCCCATGGTACAAACTGAGACCTTGTCTCTGAGCCCAGGGACTTTGTAAAAGTTTAGTTTCAGAAGCAGCAACACTGGTTCCCTCCTCCTCCCTTAGACATGGCTTCTTGCTCTGTCTTGTTCTGTAATCTGCTTAAGATAATCAATGTCTCTTTCTTTGGTCAAAGACAGACCTAGTCCATCTCTGTCACCTTCTGGCCCTGGATATACACTTCTATGGATGAATCAAATCTAGAATCTTTTTTTTTTTTTTTTTAAAGATTTATTTATTTATTATGTACACAGAAGAGGACACCAGATCTCATTACAGATGGTTGTGAGCCACCATGTGGTTGCTGGGAATTGAACTCAGGACCTCTGGAAGAACAGTCAGTGCTCTTAACCTCTGAGCCATCTCTCCAGCCCCCAAATCTAGAATCTTTAGCCTCAAATTGACAGTGATGGAAATTCTAGATGAGATAAGAATTGGTGATGTTAGTTTTTTTTTTGTTGTTGTTTGTTTTTTCGAGACAGGGTTTCTCTGTGTAGCTTTGTGCCTTTCCTGGAACTCACTCTGTAGCCCAGGCTGGCCTCTGCCTCCCGAGTGCTGGGGTTAAAGGCGTGTGCTACCACTGCCTGGCTGGGATGTTAGTTTTTGAACCTAAATGAAACTGCTTGTGGCTTTGATGACCAGCTCCAAATATACATTTGCCCCACACCCTTCCTGTTACAAACGTCAGGCCAAATTTGATCAGTCCAAAATATCAGCAAGGTAGTTGAAGGCTTAGAGATAATGAGAACAGGAGAAATGAACCTTTCCTGGACTTTTCAGTTCCCTGGTAAAGAACGCTAGCTTCAAACACGGATAGGATTACAGCATGCCTGAAATACCAGCATTCAAAGGCCACGGCAGGAGAAGGCAGAGCCTTCAAAGAGGAAACTGAGAATTTAAAATAGAAACTCTTGACTGAGTGAGATAGCTGTTGAGCGAGGGATGAGCAAAGCTAACTCAACTCTGAGCAAAACTGGTTGAATCTGAGAGGCCAAATGAGGAAGAGTTAGTTTCTGTCTTATTTCAGTTTTGGAATAGTAGTTGATCATGATAGTGTGCCATACACTTTATTCCAAGCCAGAGACAAATATGGAACAAAATTTATATTCTAGCAGAAGATAAAAAACCAACGAGTCAAATGTATTACATCTTAAATGGTGATAACTGTTATGTAGAAAAAGGAATCAGAGAAGGGAGGTTTGAGGAGATGTCAACTGTCAGCTCTGGCTCGTCTGTAGTCATAGCGGGGGACTATGGCAGGGGACTGAGGCAGGATGATGAGTTCAAAGTCAGTCTCAAAACAGACATCGGTCATGGTCGTAATCCCAGTCCGTGCAATGTGGAGACAGAAGAATCAAACGTTCCAAGCTAGCCTTAGCTGCCATCTGTAACTTTTGTTCCAGGGGATCTGATGGCTTCTGACCTCTGTGGGTGCCAGACATGCACAAGGAACACTTACCTACATGCAGGCAAAACACTCATACATAGAATCTAAATCTAAAAAAGTTTAAAATTAATTATATATATCAGATACTTCTGATAAATTGAAAATACATGACTTGTGGGAAACTAGGTTCCTTCATTTATCACACAATTGATTATATGTGGACACATATATAAAAATATGAATGAGATTTCTTCCTTGGCTTGAATATTTTTATAGTTTCCACTCTATTTGGGTCCTCTCCTGCCAATTAGTTTTTTTTTTTTTTCTGTTTTTTTTGTTTTTTTCAAGACAGGGTTTCTCTGTGTAGCTTTGCGCCTTTCCTGGAACTCGCTCTGTAGCCCAGGCTGGCTTCGAACTCACAGAGATCCGCCTGGCTCTGCCTCCTGAGTGCTGGGATTAAAGGTGTTCTTTACATAGGCTGTGGTAGGGTCATGGGGCTTCACAAGATCGATTCCTGAATAGCTTGCCGTGGACGACATAACTCACACAGTAATGCAGCAGCTGTGCCTGGAGCTTGGGAAGCACATGCACATTGGAGACCCTCACTTTGGAAATGTTCATGATGCCTGTAGTTCCTAATATGTTCTTTTTTTTTTTTGGTTTTTCGAGACAGGGTTTCTCTGTGTAGCTTTGCGCCTTTCCTGGAACTCGCTTTGGAGACCAGGCTGGCCTCGAACTCACAGAGATCCGCCTGGCTCTGCCTCCCGAGTGCTGGGATTAAAGGCGTGCGCCACCACCGCCCGGCCCTAATATGTTCTAAATGACAAAGTTCTTTGTGTACAAACGGGGCAGTTTATACGGCAGATAGGGAGCGTGTTGGGTGTACTGCCTTACTTTATCAAAAGCTTTTATTTTTTTATTTCTCTGTCTCTGTGTTTGTGCATATGCATACAGATATCCATTGAAGCTAGAAGAGAGCATCAGCTTGCCCTGGAGCCACTGGATGCGGGGGCTAGGAATTGAGTTTGGGCCCTCTTGAAGAGCAGATGCTCTAGTTGTTGAGCCCTCTCTCTAGCCCCATGCTGTGGCCTTTTTGGGCAAGACTGTTGTTCTTGTTGTGTGTGTCATGCTGGAATTGAGGACACACGTTTTTAGATTTATTTAGTTTATGTATATGGATGTCTTTTCTGCATACATGTGTGTCCCATGTGTGTGCCTGCCTTCAGAGGTCAGCAAGTGTGTTGGATCCCCTGAAATTGAAGTTATGGGTGGTTGGGAGCCATCATTGTATTGCTGGGAACCAAACTTGGCTCCACTGTGAGAGCAACAAGTGCTCTTAACCTCTGAGCCATCTCTCCAGCAGAGGGCCATTGCTTGTCTTGTGAATGGGAGGTTTTCTGTGTATCCGTAAGGGGAACATACTTGCTTTAAGTCTGGGCATGGCAGTGCATACATGAGATCCTAGCACTTAGGTAGTGGAGGCAGGAGAATCAGGAAGATCTGGTATATAGGGAGTTGGAGGCCAGCTTGGGCTGCATGACACATTGTCTCGAACAGCTAAACAAAACACAACAACAACAAAAATAAACCTAAACTGAAAATTAAAAACAAAATAAAAAACCTCAAATAATCTCGCTTTACTTCATGTGCTTGTTTATACACAGGCTTCTGCTGTAGTCCTGATGTCCTGGAGCTTGTAGTCTTTCTGCCTTTCCTTCCTGAGTGCGGGATTACAGATGATCGCCAGAGCTGGCTTTTTTGCTATAATTTTTTTTTTTTGTTTTTTTGAGACAGAGTTTCCCTGTGTAACCCTGGCCTCTGCCTCCTGAGTGCTGGGATTAAAGGCATGTGCCACAGCTGCTTGGCTCTCTTTTATATAATACATATGTATTCAATATATATAATCTTTAATATATCTTGATGTTGTGGAATACTATTTTAAATGTGCAAAGGTGTGTTACATTTGTTTCTGCTACCTTTGTTAATGATGCAAAGATGTGTTACATTTGTTTGATTAAATAAAATTAACCTGGGGTCATGAGGCTGAGCCAGCAACTAGCTGACAGGAAGTGGTAGGAAGGAACTAAGTGTAGCCAGGGTTCTTTAGTGGGGGCCTGAGCAGAAGGATGCCCTTTTTTCAGGAGACGTGAACAAGGAAAGAAGGTTAGCTATTTGCTATTCAGGCTCTCTGAGCCAGCAGGATTTCACCTCAACGTTTGAATCCTGAGTTCCATAGAAGGACAGAGATCTAGATAAAGTTTCCCTTAGCAGTTGTGATAGAGTCGCTGTGGAGCTGCAATTGCCGGTTGGGACAGCATGCTCAAGGTGCAGCCACTGTGTTGAATGCAAAACAACATTTGGTGCCCAATGTGGGACGCCATAATTTATTTATTTATTTATTTTAACTCTTTAGGGGCCCACCACCCAGCTCCCAAATAAATACACAGAGACTTAGTCTTACTTATGAATGCCTGGCCTTAGCTTGGCTTGTTTCTAGCCAGCTTTTCTAACTTAAATTATCCTGTTTCTATTTAACTATGTTTTGCCTCTGGTCTTTTTACCTTTCTTTATTCTATAAGTCTTTCTTTCCTTCTCACTCCAGGGCTGGCTGGGTGGCTGGGTGGCTGGGTGACTGGGTGGCTGGGTGGCTGGGTGGCTGGGTGGCTGGGTGGCTGGGTGGCTGGGTGGCTGGGTAGCTGGGTGGCTGGGTAGCTGGGTGGCTGGGTGGCTGGGTGGCTGGGTGACTGGCCCCTGGTGTCCTCCTCTCCTTCTCCTTTTCTCAGTCCTCACACTTCTCTTGACCTAGATTTCTCCCTCTATTTGTTCTCTCTGCCTGGCAGCCCCACCTATCCATCTCCTGCTTAGCTATTGGCTGTTCAGCTCTTTATTAGATCAATTAGGTGTTTTAGATAGGTAAAGTAGCACAGCTTCACAGAGTTAAACAAATGCAACATAAAAGAATGCAACACATTATTGCATCATTGAACAAATGTTCCACAGCATAAACGAATGTAACACATCTTAAACTAGTATTCCACAATATCTTGATCCTCTTGTCTCAGCTTCTCTCTCAGTCATGAGTCACCCCACACCATCCTCTTTTTTAAAAAGATTTATTTTTTAATAATAATTATTATTAATAATATTATATTATTATTAATATTATTATTGTGTGTACAGTGTTCTGCCTGCATGTTTGCCTGCATGCCAGAAGAGGGCACCAGATCTCATTATAGATGGTTGTGAGCCACCATGTGGTTGCTGGGAATTGAACTCAGGTCCTCAGGAAGAACAGCCAATGCTCTTAACCTCTGAGCCATCTCTCCAGCCCCCATCTCCAGCTTCTTGCTTTAATTATTTTTTAAAAAAATGATTTAAAATTTATTTTTTATGTGTATGGGTGTTTTGCCTGCCTGTATGTTTATGTACCACTTGTGTGCCTGGTGCCACAGAGATCAGAAGAGGATGACAGGAACTGGAGTTACAGTGAGAGGCATGGTAGTACCATGGTGGACTTCTCTTGGTCCCAGCCTCTACCAGGCCTGAGTTTCAGTTTCTGTTGCAGTTTCGGTTTTTGGTAAAGCAGGTGAGGGAGATATTGTACACCAGGCTTGATACAGCACTTACAGCCCCAGCCAAACAGAAACATGTTAGTGTGGCTGTTGCTGCCAATCATGTTTAGGATGACCTAATTTCCTCCTAGCTATCTAGAAAAGGAGCCTGTGAGCTTCTCTGGGGGTCACCACCATTTTGTTGTGTGGCTGACTCCCACATGCAGGAATTCATCTCTTGAGAAATAAATGCTCTTGCTTTTGCATACGTGAGTGGTGGTCTTTTGTGGGGTAATCTGTGGACCCTAACAATGGATGGTGGTGAGCTATTGTGAAGGCAATATGAAGGCCTAGATTTGACTTTATAGACTCCATCTTAGGGACGGTCCCCATCTTAGACCACCTGGTGACTAGGGTCTGTACTCAGTTCCAGGAATGTAGCATGACGACTCAAACAGATATCCTAAAAGCAACTGATTAAGAAATAGGGCAGAAAAGTTTAACAAGATTCAGATGTTCCTGCAGACATTCTGTCTGTGGTTTTTGGCCCTTGAAGATATCCAGATAATTCTGTCAGCAGGCTGTGGTTCCACGCCAAAAGTCTAACCCAAATGTGGTTTTGTGCTAAAAGTCTAGACCAATAGTTTCAAAAAAATCACCTTGCTCCATATCCCTTCTATCCAATCTCAAAATGCCCAGGCATGTAATTCTCAGCTTGTGTCTTTTTTCCTTTAAAAACTCTCCTACCCCTAAGCCCCTGGCCGATGTCACATTTCCCTCCATCTGCCGCATCAGAACATAAGGTGGTGGTCCGGGTTTGAACCTGAAAATAAAAAGACCTTTGTGTGCTTGCATTGGAAACTGGCTCCTTGGTGGTCTCTGGGGTATTTGCAACACAGGCACAACACTACCATGTAGTTACTGGGAATAGAATCCAGGTTCTCTGGAGGAGAAGACAGTGATTCTTAACCATTGAGCCATCTCCCTAGCCCGGTACTTTAAATTTATTTATTTAAAGATTCATTATTACGTATACAGTGTTCTGCCTGCATGTATCCCTGCAGGCCAGAAGAGGGCGCCAGATCTCATTACAGATAGTTGTGAGCCACCATGTGGTTGCTGGGAATTGAACTCAGGACTTCTGGAAGAACAGTCAGTGCTCTTAACCTCCGATCCATCTCTCTAGCCCCTGGTACTTTAAATTTAAAGACAGTGTGGGAATATTGTATAGCTGTCTTGTTACTATAGGGCAGCACAATGACACTCAGGAATTAAAAACCCAGGAGCTTGAAAAGGCATCACTGAAAGGTTGACATTGAGGAGAGAAGGACAAGAGCCGTGCGCTATCTGGCCTGAAAGAACATTCTAGGCAGAGGGTGGCAAGAACAAGGGGAAAGGGGCGAGACACACAGGCCAGAGCAATGAATGGCGCCAGATAGGACAGAGATGACAGGCCATAAGGAAGACCATGATTATTAGTTGGATTGAAATTTATACTGACATCCTGAAAGATAAGCCTGTAAGAAAGCCTGGGTGCTCCCAGGGCAAGCTCCAGCTCTGAGCTGCAGACTGTGGGTTCAGTTCTTTCAATTAATTACCTAGCATTCATTCTCCAAGTATTCAGGGGAGGGGTACATTTGTTCCAGGGCCCTTGCTAGAAATAGGGAGAAAATACCCTCACACCTTAGCCATGGAAGAAGAAAACCTTTCAGGGCTTGGGGAGGTCCTGCCTTCCCACGGGGGCGGGGTGGTGGTGGTACTGTCAGTGTGGCTTGATAACGGTCAGCTTGGGAAATGAATGGGTTAACTAACTGCAGACAAGGAGGAAGGAAGCCAGAGAGTGTAGGGGTGAGAACAGGAAGAACCGGCAGCCCTGGGCAGCCCTAGGCAGCCCTCTTCTGTGTGTGTAGAGGGGCAGCCCTGGGCAGCTGTCCTCTCTGTGTGTAGAGGGGCAGCCCTTGGTAACCTGTGTGTGTAGAAGGTTCTGTTTCCCCACCGATTCTAAGCTCTACCCTGGCCTGAGGGGAGGACGTGGACGGGTCAGGACAGGTGGCCTGGACACGGGATGTCTGCCTGTTGACTACTCATGCTTCACTTTTAGAACAGTTTCCAGAAGTGGTGGGAGGGAGAGGGCAGGGCGACTAAATATAGTTCTTGGGCCACTGAACTATCTGGGAGGGTCTGCCCTCTGTTCGGCATGTGCTTGTCAACTGTTGAATCCACCCACTGCCATCTGGCCCTGAGTCCCGTCCTTTCACTGAGCCTGCTGCCTGCTGCCTGCTGGTCTCTGGACACAGCTCTGATCAGCCTACTGTTAGGCCTGTCCCTGGCTGGTGCTCCCGGGAATCTCTTTTGGCTTGAGTTCTCCCTTCAGATCTGTGAGTCCTGGAGATATGGGGGAAGGCAGGGCTGGGAGAGGTCCGTGGGAGGACAGATGCGGAGGGGATTCTGGATCATTCCAGAGAAGTTGGGGCCCAGACCTAGGTCGGAGGCTGAAGCCTGGGCTAAATCAGGAGCAAGGAGTGGGTGAGAGTGGAACCGGGTGTGTTTAGAAACCAGGGTTGACAAAGGCCCAATTGGGTCACATTTGTTTTTATCTGGGCCGCGAAAGGCAATATATACTCACTTTGGGACGACACTAAATCTCCTTTACCCGTTGGCCATAACCAAAATCTCTTCCGGTATGGGCTATGAGGTAGTTAAAGGCTGCGGGGCCACAGACCCAGTGTGGGACCGAGCTGGAATTCCGTCTTTGGGTCTCTCTGACAGACTCCTCTTCCCAGGCTCACCATGTCGGCTGCTCCAGGCCTTCTGCACCAGGAATTGTCCTGCCCACTGTGCCTGACGCTGTTCGATGCGCCAGTGACCGCTGAGTGTGGCCACAGTTTCTGCCGTGCCTGCCTGGGCCGCGTGGCAGGCGACCCTGCCGCCGATGGCACAGTGCCCTGTCCTTGCTGTCAGGCACCCACGCGGCCGCAGGCGCTCAGCACTAACCTGCAGTTGGCGCGTCTCGTGGAGAGTCTGGCCCAAGTGCCCCAAGGCCACTGCGAGGAACATCTGGATCCACTGAGTATCTACTGCGAGCAGGACCGCACACTTGTGTGCGGTGTGTGTGCCTCGCTCGGTTCACACCGTGGCCACCGTCTTCTGCCTGCTGCTGAGGCCCACGCATGCCTCAAGGTGCGGGACCCAGCAGGGGTCTGTCCGGGTGGGACGGCTGAATAGAGTGTGTGTGTAGGGGGGGTTGACCACGGGAAAAACGCTGCGTTGATTTGCATTATGAACTTCAGAGGGTAGGAGTCCGGGTTGCTATGGAGGGTTGCGGGCCTAGGTGGCCAAAAGTCCGCAGGAGCCTTCTAGTAGAGCAAAGCCCGCAGGAACCCCCTGGGAGCAGCGTGCAGAAGAGCGCTTACCTGGCGGAAGTCTTCCAGCCAGCCTAGAAATGCCCGAGAGGGATCTGACCAAACCGTGCTGTGCCTCCTGGCAGACTGAAACTGGGTTGCCACCTGCCGCCCACACGCTCTAAGGTGAACTGGCTGGACCTGCTAGATTGGCATGTTTGTGGGGTGGAGTATACGGTAAGACTAGCTGACAGGAAGTTAAAGGCGAGGCCAGGCGTCCCAGAATCCGGCTGTCCATCTGTGTACCGTGCATGATAGAGGTCCACTCATCCCTGAAGCTGCTAACCTTGTATGAGCCTGAAGTTCAAGAGGGATGTAGGATGGGCAAGGCTCGCGGTGGGTAGGCAGCACCGAGACTCCAGTCCAGGCTGTTATTCCAGTTGGAGCTAGAATACAGCCCTTATACAGTCTTGTGCTCCCGAAGTTCCACCAGGAAAAATATCTGATAGTAGTCGAACATACATGCCAGGTATACGTGCTGCTACAAGTCATGCATATCACAAATTACATGCATTCAGATACTGGCAGATATGCGCCCAGTTGGCCCAGAAAGCTCTGTTATTAAGCATTTGTTAGCCTGTGGAAAAGCGAACAGGTGCAGAGGTGGGGGAGGAGGTAGGGTCTGGGGCGGTCCTCCTTCAGCCGGGGAAGACGCTGCTATTGTCTTCAGCTGCCTCAGAGGCACAGCTTTTCTGAGCGTCTGGTCTTCACTGTCCTTTGCTAGTGATTCCCAGACTTCCCAGGGCCTCGCCTCCCAGCCCTCCTTCCTGCTCCTGCCTTGCTCAGTCCAGCTCAGACCTGGCTGTGGTAGTCTAGCGAAGGGCAGGAGTCTATTGCTCGGAGCCCACCCGGCCCAGTTTCCTCTTTGCTGACCCCGGAACTCTAACCTTGCTCATTTTTATCTGTAAAGAGAGACTAGAACCTGTGAAGTAGACGTGTATCAGGCTTCTGGGAACTTTGAAAGGGCAGACGTGGAGCTCCAGTCTCAGTGACCCGCAATCGCCTCGCCCTAAGCCTTAAAGGTCTGAAGAAGGAAATCCTAGAAAAGAACCCGAAGGAGGAAGGGAACAGGACCGCTCTGGGACTTGATGACTGGAGTTTTGACAAGTTAGAGGGTTTGGGTCAGGAAGCCACTTACCAGACTCAGAGTGGGTGACCAAGTTCCTCCGCACTGGAGGCTCATGGTGCTTTTTGACTCTGTGCTGCCTGCTCCCGCATACCCATGTCCTGCAGCATGGTTGCTATAGTTGGCGCTGTAGTCCTTGAAGTAGAAGGCAACCGGCCTGCTGTGAGGTTGGTGGCATCCAGCGGCCCAGGTTCCCCTCACCTCCCAGGATGTGTGGAAAGCCCTGAGAGCTGCACTAGCTTCAAGCTTGAGCTTCTTGAGCCAGTCAGCTGTGAGACTCTCCGGCACTTTCTGGATGGTGCTCCTTTGCCATGGCTCAGCCCTGCAACCTCTGAGTACTGACTGCAGGACCTAGAGCAATCAGGCTGGCCTCAAGAGAGGACATCCGAGATGGAGACTGATCTGGCAGCCAGCCAGGAGTCCTTGGTTCAGCTCTGTGGCTTCCCCTGGGGAGTATTCCTCAACAAACACCACCCCCTGTCTTCAGTTTCCCCAGGGGAGGTGTCACTCGGTTGAAGTGGGGGTGGGACTGTTCCCATTCTGCATAGGAGGAGACTGATGGGAGCAGGGGTTGTAGGCAGGCAGAGGTGACTGTGGCAAGAGTCTTTAGAAGCTCCTCTATACTTGCATTTCAGGGACCCCTAACCAGGCCACGGGGGTGGGGGTTAGTTGATTCATAGCAGGTATGCACATACATTTTCTGTTCTCAGAATCCATAGGTGTGTGAAGAGGCTGGCCAGGGCACCAGGCTGCCTGAGACTGGATTTTTTTTTTTTTTTTTTTTTTTTTTGGTTTTTCGAGACAGGGTTTCTCTGTGTAGCTTTGCGCCTTTCCTGGGACTCACGTGGTAGCCCAGGCTGGCCTCGAACTCACAGAGATCCACCTGGCTCTGCCTCCCGAGTGCTGGGATTAAAGGCGTGTGCACCACCGCCCGGCCTGAGACTGGATTTTTAAGTAAGGGGCAAAACCCAGGAAGGGAAGATTGCACTCTTCCTCCCTCTTCCTCCTCTTCCACCTTCTTCCCCCCCCCCCCCGCCTCTCCCCTCTTCCTCCTCCCCTTCTTCCTCCTCCCCCTCCTCCCCTTCTTTCTCTTTTCCTCTCCCTCCTCCCCTTCTTCCTCCTCCCCCTCCTCCCCTTCTCCCTCTTTTCCTCTCCCTCCTCCCCTTCTTCCTCCTCCCCCTCCTCCCCTTCTTCCTCCTCTCCCTCCTCCCCTTCTTCCTCCTCCCCCTCCTCCCCTTCTTGCTCCTCCCCCTCCTCCCCTTCTTGCTCCTCCCCCTCCTCCCCTTCTTGCTCCTCCCCCTCCTCCCCTTCTTCCTCCTCCCCTCCTCCCCTTCTTCCTCCTCCCCCTCCTCCCCTTCTTCCTCCTCCCCCTCCTCCCCTTCTTCCTCCTCCCCCTCCTCCCCTTCTTCCTCCTCCCCCTCCTCCCCTTCTTCCTCCTCCCCCTCCTCCCCTTCTTCCTCCTCCCCCTCCTCCCCTTCTTCCTCCTCCCCCTCCTCCCCTTCTTCCTCCTCCCCCTCCTCCCCTTCTTCCTCCTCCCCCTCATTTCCTTCCTCTTCTCTTCCTTCTTTTTTTTTTTAAAATAATTTATTTAACTTTATTTTATGTGCACTGGTGTGAAGGTGTCAGATCCCCTGGAACTGGAGTCACAGACAGTTGTGAGCTGCCATCTGGGTGCTGGGATTGAACCCGGGTCCTCTGGAAGAGCAGCCAGGGCTCTTAACCTCTGAGCCACCTCTCCAGCCCCTTCTCTCCCTTCTTTACTTCCCCTCTGAGACAGGGCGTTATTATATAACTTAGGCTGACTTCAAACTTGTGATCCTCCCGCCTCAGCCTCCTGAGTGCTGGGGTCACAGACGTGCACTATCATGCCCAGCTTTATTTCTTTTTTCATACATCCTTCACTCACTTCTGGAAGCCTATTGTGTGCCACGTGCTACACTTTCCAGTCTGGTGATGATATTGTGCTTGTGATCCTTGCAAGGACCTTTCTGGGGTTAACTGCTTGGGGGTGAGGTTGGGGAAAGTGAGGCCAGCGGAGAGTTAAGAAAATAGACCACTGCAGGCAAAGGCACTAGGGTGAAGTACGGCCAGGCATGCACGTGGAGTGGGGACTGAGCAGAGGGCTGGAGAAGGAGCTGGCATTGAGGGGGAAAAGTACAGATGGCAAGATAAGGGGACTGTTGTTTCAGGGTGGCATTCCAGCATCTCTTTTATCCTGTCCCCTAGACGCAGCTTCCGCAACAGAAACTGCAGCTGCAGGAGGCATGCATGCGGAAGGAGAAAAGTGTGGCCGTGCTGGAGCATCAGTTGGTGGAGGTGGAGGTGAGGGGGCTGAGGGTGGCATGCGGGGCGCCTACCCACCAACCCCACAGTTCCCCAGAGTTTTCTTGAATGAGAGTAGCAGGAAATATTAGATAAAAGGATTTAGGGTGTGGAGATAAACATAGAAAATACAGGATAGCCTCGAGAGGGCCTGGAACCTATTCCAATGGGCCCTGACTGTCTCTGCCCTAGGGTATTTAAAGAAATGCCAAGGGGTGGAGCAAAAGACCTCCTCCCAGCCCCGCCAAGTACAGACACACTCAGGCCTGTGGTCTAACCATCCTCTCTATGCAGACCTGCTGGGTAAAGCCACTAGAAACCTGAAAATGGGCTCCCACAGTGTCAGAGCCCTGGGACTGGAGGTTCAGGCTGAGGATCCCTAGGCAAGAATCTTCTCACCCCTATCTCAGGAGACAGTGCGTCATTTCCGGGGAGCTGTCGGGGAGCAGCTGGGGAAGATGCGGGTGTTCCTGACTGCCCTAGAAAGTTCTTTGGACCGTGAAGCAGAAAGGGTTCGGGGTGAGGCTGGGGTTGCCCTGCGGCGGGAGCTGTCGAGCCTGAATTCTTACCTGGAGCAGCTGCGGCAGATGGAGAAGGTGTTGGAGGAGGTGGCTGACAAGCCACAGACAGAGTTCCTTATGGTGAGCACTGAAGGACTCCCCTATCCCCCCCGCCCCCGACCTCCTGGCCATGGCTCAGGTTCCCGAGACCTCATCCAATTGTCATGGGGGGACCCTGAAGCCCATAGCCCTGAAGACCCTGAAGGGATAAGCTGGGACTTCGTATCAGAGTTGGGTCTCTGAACTGTCGTTCAGACTGGATAGTGCATAAGTGTCTGAGTGGCACCATTCACGTCAAACGGTGTAGGCTTGTGTGTCTATTAGGACAGTCTTCTAACAGGTGGATATATGTCTCTGGGATAAGGAAGGGCACCTTTTTCTGTTCACATAAAAGTTATCGTCCAAGAGTGGCTTTGAGTCCTGGGCTTTGGCTTTTCTGATCTTTCTGACCGCATGTCCTTGGTTGTCTGCTACAGCATTAGAACTCCCCAGAGTCCTTCCTTGCTGCTTTATCTCCATTCTCATTTTCTCTTTCTCCAGAAATACTGCCTGGTGACCAGCAGGTGAGAACCTGTCTCTTTCTTTTGCTGACCTTCCTTGTGCTAGTCTTCCAGGGAAACCCTCTGCTTACCATGTGCCCGTCACCTCACTCAGCTCACAACCATTTCTGTGGACTTTGTGTTGAACACAGAAATGAGACAGCCTCGGTCCTTACCCCCGGGGACCTCATGTACTGGTGCCATGGTGCCACAGATGTGGACAGGTCACAGGTATCACCTCAAGACTGCTGGGAGGGAAAGGGGGAGCCAAAGGAGACGTTAGAGTTGGATCCTGGAGGAATGGACAGGAGTTGGAGAAGTAGCCCTGCAGTGCAGGCTGGCCTTACACTCACAATGTAGGCAGGCCTGGAACTAATGATCTTAGCCTCTCAGATGCTAGGACTACTGGCATGGACCGCCATGCCCTGCTTAAGCATTTTAGAGAGGACATTTTATATTCAATTGGATCATATACATTCATGCTGTACAGTTGCCATCTTTATCCATTTCCAGAGTTCTTCCATATTCCCAAACAGAAATTTCAGTGGAAGAGTTTAAGGCAGGGGTGTGATGTGGGGGGATCCTGAAAGGCCCTCTCCAACAACCTGTGTCCTCTTGTCCCTGGAGGAATTCTTCCTGCCCCCACCCCCAGCATCACCTCTCTACCCCTCTGTACCCAGGTCCTCTTGTCCCTGGAGGAATTCCTCCTGCCTCCGGGCCCCAGCCCCCAGCATCACCTCTCTACCCCTCTGTACCCAGGCTGCAGAAGATCCTGTCAGAGTCACCACCACCTGCAAGGCTGGATATCCAGCTGCCTGTCATCTCAGATGACTTCAAATTCCAGGTGTGGAGGAAGATGTTCCGGGCCCTGATGCCAGGTACTGAGAGGGGTGGCTCTGGGTTTGTATAACTGTGGGGTCGGAGGGAGGCCCAAGACACAGAGAGCAGCCTCCCAGCCCCACCCCAGAAAGCCATGGAAGGTGCTCTTTGCTGTTTGGATTCTTCCTTGCACCCTCCCAGCTGCGAGGGCCTGGAGTTTACAGTGGGTAAATGCCATGGAGAGTACCCAGCTGACCCCAGGAGTGCTGCTATGGCTGGGTCTGGGCCACTGGCTGTGTCATCCTTGGCCAGTTATTGTCCTTCTCTGACCATGGAGATGATGGTTCCTGGTGGCTGTGGGCTGAGGTTTTGCAGAGTTCCTGGAAACCTGGGGCATCTGACACTGCCTCTGGGAACCTGTAGCTGGGAGCCAAGAGCTCAGCCTCCTCTCCTAGGAGCTAACATTTCTGGGTGCCCACAGGGCACGCGCGCGCGCGCACACACACACACACACACACACACACACACACACACACACACACACACACACACACACACAGAGCTGTTCAGCCTTTACTGCCTCTGGTCTAGGTGGGGTAGGAACGAAAGAAACTTTGGTTTATTCAAGAGTAAACTTTTAAGACCCAGAGACTACATCAAGACACACAGAACGGGGGGCTTCCTGGCTCCTGTTCTGGACCTTGGGCGTTTCTGTGGGCTTCAGAAAACACCACTCATTTGGTATTCCCCTGCCCTGCCTACCACGTGCCTCACCGTGCAGTTGAGCAAACCCGAGAGGATGCGGGGGTGGGCGAGAGGCTTTCTAAGGTCCCTTGGTCGGTTGGGAGCAGCAAGGCTCCCCAGCCAGCCTGACCATGGTCTGTTTGGCAGCGCTGGAGGAGCTGACGTTTGACCCTAGCTCCGCGCACCCGAGCCTGGTCGTGTCCCCTTCGGGTCGCCGCGTGGAGTGCTCGGAGCAGAAGGCCCCGCCGGCGGGAGAAGAGGCGCGCCAGTTCGACAAGGCGGTGGCGCTGGTGGCTCAGCAGCTGCTGGCCCAGGGCGAGCACTACTGGGAGGTGGAGGTGGGCGACAAGCCGCGCTGGGCCCTGGGCGTGATGGCGGCCGACGCTCCCCGCCGTGGCCGGCTGCACGCGGTGCCCTCGCAGGGCCTGTGGCTGCTCGGCCTGCGCGATGGCAAGATCCTGGAGGCGCACGTGGAGGCCAAGGAGCCGCGGGCGCTGCGCGTGCCCGAGAGGCGCCCGGTGCGCATCGGCCTCTACCTAAGCTTCGCCGACGGCGTCCTGGCGTTCTATGATGCGAGCGACGCCGACGCGCTGGCACCCCTCTTTTCCTTCCACGAGCGCCTGCCCGGGCCCGTGTACCCCTTCTTTGACGTGTGCTGGCACGACAAGGGCAAGAACTCGCAGCCGCTGCTGCTGGTGGGGCCTGACAGCGAGCAGGCCTGAGGTCACCTTTGCAGGCCTGGAGTGGGTGGGGCGGGTTTCTGGGACTGAAGGCTAGGCGGAGGGGTGGTCAGGGAGGGGGTGTTTGTCTCATAGGGGTCAGAGAAGTACACAGGTTGGGACGCACAGGGGACCCGAGGGTGAGGGATCGAGGGGTAGGGTCTGTGAAGAAGCGCGGTGAGACAGATCAGTGAGTTTGGGCCAAGAGTGCCAGCTGAGGTTTAGGGAGGCTGGGGAGAGGGTGGGGTTTGATGGAGGATCTTGGGAAGTCTGTGGAACAACGGTCCCTTCAGCCCCACAACCCACTCCCGAAGGCCCCTTCCTCCTCAAGGCTGCAGATTCCCCTTACCCGACGACAGGTTTTCAGTTAGTGCTTACATCTAACTGCCTTTTCTTTTCCTTTTGGTTTTTCGAGACAGGATTTCTCTGTGAAACAGTCCTGGCTGTTCTGAAATCCGCTTTGCAGACCAGGCTGGCCTTGAACTCACTGAGATCCGCCTGCCTCAGCCTCCCCAGTGCTGGGATTAAAGGCGTGTGCCATCACCACTTGGCTTCTAACTGCCTTTTCAAAGCCCCCAACAATCCTGACAGACTGCTGGTGCATGACTGTAATCCCAGCACTGAGGGGGTGGGGTGGGCTGAGGCAGGAGAATGGGAAGTTGAAAGTCAGCAGGACTCTGTCACAGACAAACCAATGTGCACAGACCAGTGACTTGATAAAACGTTGCTGTTTCTGAGGTAGTAGATCTGGGGGAGGTCAAAGAAGGCTTCTTGAAGCTGGAGAGATGGCTCAGAGGTTAAGAACACTTGCTGCTGCTGCAGAACATCTTGAGGTTCGGTTCCCAGCACCGACACTGTGGCTCACAACACTCCAGTTGCAATGAACCTGATGGCCTCTTCTGGCCTCTGTGGGCACTTGTGGTACACAGACATATGTGCAGGCAAAACACTCACACATGTTTAAAACAAAAAGGATTGCCTCTATATCGCTATTTCTGTTTCTGTCTCTCTTTGGAGACAAGGTCTTGCTGTGTAGCCCAGGCTAGCCTAGAATTCACTATGTGGGCCAGGTTGGCTTCAGATTCTTGATTCTCTTCCTCAGCCTCTGGCGTGTTGGGGTTTCAGGTGTATGTCACCATGCCCAGCGAAGATGGTTGCTTCTAACAAGTTTCTGAGCAGTCCTGTAGCTGCAGGTCACCTGGGATCACACTGAGAGCACACCTTGACTAGTCAGCTCTAAGTGTGGACAGAGGCATTGAGTCTAAACACGTTTCCTGGTACAATTAGCATTTCTTTAAGTTAAGGGCCATGTGCTCTCACGTTTTATGTTTGAATGTGTGTGTTGAATACTTGGACCCAGCTGGGGGCATTATTTTGGGTAGTATTGGAAACTTCAAGAAGAAGATGAGGAAGAAGGGCCTGGCTGAGGAAGATCACTAGTGGCATGTCTTTGAAAGTTATGCCTGGTCCCTAGGAAGCTCCGCTCCCTGTCCACCCTGAAGTAAAGAACCCTGTCTGCCACATGTGCCTTCTGCCATGTCGCTCTTCCCAAGCACGGGAGCCTAAGTCACCGTGGGCTGAGGTGTCAGAAACCTTGAGCCAGGCGAGCTCTTCCTCCTGATCACACTAAATCCAGCTGTGCTGGTTAGTTTCTTATTTTATTTTTCTCTCAACTTGACGTAAGCTAGGGTCATTTGGGAAGAGAGACCCTCAACTGAGAAAATGTCTCCATCATATTGGTCTGTAGGCAAGACTGTAGGCATCTCTGGATTTCCTAACTGATGTGGGAGGGCTCAGCCCCCTGAAGGTGGTGCCACCTCCGGGCAGGTGGTACTGAGTGGAATAAGAAAGGAAGGTAGCAAGCTGTGGAGAAGAAGCCAGTAAGCAGTGTTCCTCCACGGCCTCTGCCTCAGCTCCTTCCTTCAGGTCTCTGCCTTGGGTTCCTACCGTGACTTCCCATCATGATGGGCTGTGATCAGAATGTGTAAGTCAAATAAAGCTTTTCCTCCCCAAGATGCTTTTGGTCATGGTGTTTATCATAGAAATAGAAACCTAACTAGGATACTGATTAACACACAGAAGAGAGGCATCGGGTTTATCAAAGCTGATCCAGACATACATTCTCTGCCTGACTCTCCCACCCAAGACTTACCTTTATTATTTTTAACTATATGCATGCACGTGTGTCTATGTGGGGGTGTGTGCATGTGCGTGGCCAGAGGCTTTGGATCCCCCGGAGATAAAATTACAGGTGTTTTGAGCTGCTTGACGTGGGGGGCACTGGGAACTGAACTCAGATCCTCTACAAGGTCAATGTGTGCTCTGAACCACGGAACAATCTCTCAGGCCTGACTTGCTGTGACACTTCTTGTGCACTGTCCCCACCCCTGCCCCGTGTTGTATCTCCTGCAGCCCCACACTGACTGGCCTGTTGGCCAAGGCAGACAGCTGTCTTGGGCGGAGACGCGTCTCCCCACCTCAATCCTGCTAGCTCGGTACTCACTTGTTCTAGGGTGTCTCATGTATTCTTACCTCTCTAAAGGACACGCTCTTTTCTTTTCTTGTCTGGACATCTAAGCTGCTCCTAGCATCTCTACACCACCTTTCAGAAAGGGACACAAGGTGTTCAGTTCCTGAAGACGTCACATCCTGGCGACGAGCAACAGGCTCTCCTTAGGCTTCATCTAGGCTCTCTAACTTCTGTGATCCACAGAGACTTCCGGTCTCCACATGGGCTGTTGTGGGTTATCCACCAGAGAAGACCGCTCAGACATGGGTTTAAGCCAAGAGAAAGTCTTTATTAGTCGGCTAGTAACTACACTGGATGTTTGGAATCTCATTGTAGCCCTGAGTCTTTCTCAAGGTGAGCTTTTTCTTTTCTTTTTTCTCTTCTCTTCTCTTTCTCTCTCTCTCTCTCTCTCTCTCTCTCTCTCTCTCTCTCTCTCTCTCTCTCTCTCTCTTCCTTCCTTCCTTCCTTCCTTCCTTCCTTCCTTTCTTTTTTTAAATTTTTCGAGACAGGGTTTCTCTGTGAAACAGTCCTGAAACTCGCTTTGTAGACCAGGCTGGCCTCAAACTCACATAGATCCACTTACTCTGATTCCCGAGTGCTGGGATTAAAGGCATGTGCCACCACTGCCAACCTTCAGGGTGAACTTTTAAGCATAAAAGTCATGGTCTGGGTTGACATACTTCAGTTAGTAAGAACAGTTAGCCAAAAGCAAAACCATAGAATCTGAAATCTAGGTTAGTGCAGTTAGAGACTTTCCCAGAGCTATGGACTTTGTTTTCATTTTATCAAGTGGTATTATCTACATGCTGAGTTTTACGGCCTGAATGGTACTTCCACCGTGGAGGAGGCCCACTAAAGTCTGGGGCGGTCACAGGAGCTCACTTCCTTTGAGGTTGGGGAGTCTGTTGTGGTGGCAGGAGGACAAATGGCGTGAGTAAGGACCCTGGAAAGTGCAGCGCTGACCCTGCCCTGTCACTAGGAAATCCTGAAGGCTGTATGGGCAGCCCTCTATATGCTGCGGAGCTGTTGTGAAACACTGTTCTCTGGGCATGACTAAGCCATTGCCCTTTTGAACCGTGTTTCCTGGAAGGAGACCCGTGTAAGATTGGGCTTATTAACTTTCTCCATCATGGAGTCGGGGAGGGGCTCAGGAGGCCTTGCCCAGGCTTTCAGAGACAGTTCACGGGTTGCTAGAAGGAAGGACTCACCCTCCAAGGATATACAGACATTAATGGTGGCTGGGGAGTAAGAGACCTTTTCTTCAGTAGTTGTGTGCAGGTTGCTCACACTTCTGTGAGTCACCTCTCACCCTGGTTACACTCATTCATTCATCATTTCTTTGAACTGTTGTCGAGGAGAAAGTGTCTATATTTTCTCAAGAAAAGGCCACACAACAGGACTTTGATAAATCACATTTTGTCCTTAACTTTGGGTTTATTTTTTTCTTTTTGGTGTTTAGGATAGAACCCAAACAGCATCATGTGAATGAGGTTTCCCAAATCTTCAACTGTCAAATATCAAATTTTTTTTTTTCTAGACAGGGTTTCTCTGTGTAACAACCCTGGCTGTTCTGGAACTTGCTTTTTTAGACCAGAGTGGCCTTGAACTCACAGAGATCTGCCTTTCTCTGTTTTCCAAGTGCTGGGATTAAAGGCATGAACCACAATGCTTGGCAGGATAACAGTCTTGAGTGACTTCAAGGTGTATTATTAGCTCTGGCTGAGAGGTTCAGCAAAGGTTCCAGTCTCTTAGAATGTAATTTTTAAAATCATAATGTATTGCCACATATCTCAATTCATATTTTTGATGTATAATGATCAGATCAGAATAACTGACATTTCCATCACTTCAAATATCTCATCTAACTATATTTCTCCTTCTCAAAATGGCTCATTAATATTATTTACTCATTTTCTTTTTTAAAATTTCTTTTATTTTATGTGTATGGGTGTTTTGCCTGTGTGTATGTATGTGTACCATGCACAGTTAGTGCCCAGGAGTCCAGAAGGAGGCCCTGAATCCCCTAGAAATAGAGTTATGGACAGTGAGTCATCTCCTTGTGGGTGCTGGTAACTGAACCTCGATTCTCTGCAAAAGCAGCCAGTGTTCTTAACCACTGAGCCATCTCTCCAGCCCCTTACTCATTTTCTTGATGAGCTATAGTTATTTATTTATTATTTTTTGGTTTTTCGAGACAGGGTTTCTCTGTGTAGTTTTGGTGCCTGTCCTGGATCTCGCTCTGTAGACCAGGCTGACCTCGAACTCACAGAGATCCGCCTGCCTCTGCCTCCTGAGTGCTGGGATTAAAGGTGGGGGCCAAAATATCTAGCTCCTTTTATTTTTGAGGTTATAATATAATTACATCATTTCTCCCTTCCCTTTTCTCCCCCCAGATCCTTCCATATACCCTTCCTAGACTCTCTTTCAAATTCATGACCTCTTTTTTCATTAATTGTTGTTACATGCGTGTATGTGTGTGTGCTGTATCTATTCCTATATGTTACCTGCTCAGTTACTTGTGTTGTCAAGAATGACCATTTGGTATTGGATAACCAGTCGGCTCGCTCCTCCTCCTTTGAGAAGACTGTTTCTCTCACTCTCAGTTTTCCTTCGTAGTTCTTTGTGTAGAGCTGAGGCCTCATGGTCTTTCCCCATTCACTTCTGCACATCTATTGCTGTTGTCCTGGTTCAGCTCATGTTTGGGCAGCCATGTTGGGGAGACTATGGCTGTAGCTTCTGGCATTTATATTTTTGGTTGTGAGCCTAGCCTTTAACGGCTGAGCCATCTCTCCAGCCCAGCTTCTGGCATTTAAAAGAGACACAATCTCATAGTAAACGGATCCTCTGGCTCTTCAACCTTTCTGCCTCCTCTTCCTCAGTGTTCCCTGAACCTTAGGTGTGGGAGTTGTTTTGTAGATATGTTCACTGGGACTGGGGTCTACAACCATTTTGCATTTTGCTTGGTTGTGGTTTTCTGTAGTGGTCTCCATATGTTGTGAAGAGAAGTTTCCTTGATGAGGCGTGAGGACTACACTTACCTGTGAGTACAAGGACAGATGTTTAGATTGTCCTTAGGGATCGTGGTGGTTTAGTAAACTTGTGGTTGCAGGTTCTCCTCCAAGATCCATGACTTCACTAGCACTGAATGGTTGGCTAGGTTCCAGTACCAGGCATAGTCTCCCTTTTGTTGAGTGCGTCTTAAGTCCAAGTAGAGAGCTGTTGGTTACCGCCAAGCTATGGTGCCACTACTGGACTGCAGCCTTAGTGTTATCTTGCCATGCTGGTCATTGTGTAGTTCACAGGCAGTGTAGCTGGGGAGGACTGTTGGCTGCATCCTTCCTTTGGAAGCTTGCCTTGTGCCTGCTGGTACCATGAAAGGTAGGCCTCAGGGAGGGGGTGTTCAGATCAGTTCTAGCTCAGGGCCCTCTGGGCCCTTTTTCTGAAGTGCATGGTGTCTTCAGCAATAGGGACTTACCTTCCACCTCTGGGGCCACCAAGGGCAACAGCAATAGGCTGTATGTTTTGTGACTCTTGGACAACCCCTGACCAACAACTCAAAAGGGGGCTTATTTCTGGTATTGGGATTTTTGTTAGGTATTCTTTGGCTCTTGAAGGGAACATTGTCAAGTCAATTGAGAAAATCTTATTTAAAATATACATGTATATTTATCCACAGAATTACATATATTATAGATTTTTTTTTTTTTTTTTTTTGGTTTTTCGAGACAGGGTTTCTCTGTGTAGCTTTGCGCCTTTCCTGGAACTCACTTGGTAGCCCAGGCTGGCCTCGAACTCACAGAGATCCACCTGGCTCTGCCTCCCGAGTGCTGGGATTAAAGGCGTGCGCCACCACCGCCCGGCTAGATTTTTTTAAGATACAGTTAATAATATGAATCACACTATTGCTTTTTTCATACTTATGACATTTTCATACTTAATACTTTTTTCAGACTCCTTGTTATTTTACCCTCTTATCTCATTTTCTATTTACCTCTATCTCCCCTCCTTAAAGAGCCCTTCTTTTCCATTTTCCAGGTTAGGTCACTTGTACCCTGCTGTCCCCCACTGTGGCTCCCCAACCCCACTCTCCTGGCAGTGACCTCTTTTTACTTTCCTGCTTTCTACAGTCACTGCTTTTCTGCTGTCACTATAACTGACGTCAGAAGAAGGCATCATCATCCTCTGGGACTGGAGTTATGAGTCACCACGTGGGTTTTGGGAACAAAACTCAGGTCCTCTGCAAGAGCAGCTAGCATTCTTAACCACTGAGTCATCCTTCCAGACAGACAGACAGACAGACAGACACACACACACACACACACACACACACACACTCGCTTTTTTCTTTTTTTTGGTTTTTCGAGACAGGGTTTCTCTGTGTAGCTTTGTGCCTTTCCTGGATCTCGCTCTGTAGACCAGGCTGGCCTCGATTAAAGGTGTGCACCACCACCGCCCGGCGCTTTTTTTTGAGACAAAGTCTTCTATAGCCTAGGCAGGC